CTTCCTCCTTCCTAGCGCTGCGTCCTTAGTAATTCCATCTTATTCTGTACTTAATTTGGAGTAATACCATACACATTTGACGAGTTCATAAACCTGTTCCAACAAAGTTTCAATGTTCGCCTCAATGCGGGCATTTGCGCGGGAAATTTAAAATAGCGTCGAAGAATTTAGATGAACCCGTTTTTCTAAGCGAATATTCAATGAAATGTCACCAAAATTGGCTTAAAATATAATTGTGCAATAAAGCGTAGAAGAAGGTTTGAAAATTTTTTGAATTATCATGGGAATGAAGAAATCGCTTTACCTTTTTTGATTTAGGTCTCCGGCGGAGACCTACGGGAGACCTCAGGTCCCCGATTACCAAACACTTTTTTCTTTCTCGTAATTTTGCGTTCCTTATACCAAACACTTTTTGTGCACCCCCTGACCCAACTTACAGCGCAATAACCAGATCACAGCACTTTCTCCCTAAGGCCCTAAATTGTTTTAGCTTAGTAAAGAAAACGCGCTCCAAGTATGCGGCACAGCAGTTCTTGCCCTGGTTGCACGCGTTTGTACAGGTTCTGCAAGAGCGGCTTCGTATTTTCCTGGATCAAGCGCTATTCGTTGTCTTAAGCTTTACCGGAGACCTCGTGCCTGGATTTACTACACTGGAATCGGCGAAGCGCAAAGCAACAGTCTTTTTTCCCTTCTAGAGTCCTTCGTTTGTTTGGTATGTAAGTCAAAGACAATTGAAACTAACAAGTTTTTTAGCTTGCGCCGAATTTGTTCCACAGAAATGTATACAATGTATTTTTCAGAAAGCGACCGAGCACAGAAAGAACATCAAAAAGGATAATCGAAAAGTGCTCTGGAATTTTTTTTTGTAGACCTAAAATTCGCTTTCAGGTTGTTTGTAAATCTTTTGCTCAGATCAACAACTTTTTCTAAGCTTTCATTGAAAAAGGCTCAACGCGTTTAGTGTTGCAGTGATGTCAAATCACTCAGCTCTATATGAAACATCTGTTTGACGGCTGTTTCTAGCAATTCGCTGTAAGATATGAATGCGCAGCTACGCAGCTCATGCTGTCAGGTAAAAAATGGGAAGAACGAAGAAAGCAGTTGGACATAGATATCACATTAGAAGTTGAGCATGTAGACTACAAACACACAGCTGTAGTTATGGTTGAAACGCTATGCTGTCGGTGTTGTGAACTTGTTCATCGTAAGTTTGGCTCAATAAAGAGAAACAATAGCAGAACCAACATTTATAAAGCGTTGATCTTTTCGAGAACCAGTAAGTTAACTACATATCGATTTCCTCATTGACTCGAATCTTCAAATTTACATCTCAACTAGGTCCCCGTGCACAAAGGTTTATGGTAAATCCTATATTAGAAATTTCCACTTTTATTTTCATCATGCCCAAGATATCCTTCTCAGTTTTCCAAACTCTCCGGTGCCTTCTAGCCAATCTAAAAGACGAAGTCAGGGCATATGTATTGAGTGCTCCTTTTCAGTCCTTTTGTAGTACAGTGTTACCATTATGTGACCGTCCGCCAAAAGGGAGGGCGCATAGGAGTTCCCAATGCCTTGCCGCTTTTCCTTAGAGCAAGTAATTAACCGTCCTGGGGGAGCCTAACACTTCCTAATGCTAGGCTCTGACTTTGCCCATTGTTTTCCCGCAGATGTGTCTGTACAAGGCTAGGGGACGGATGTGCGAACTCAAGCCAAAGAAAGAATGATGAAAATGAAACTGGCATTATGCTTCTTTAGGATATCATCTGTTCAATTAAAAGTTAGATGATCATAGGCACCATGTAGAACTGCACATAACGCAGATAATATTGAGTATTAGAGCCAGATTTTCAGATCAGAAAAAATCGTAAAGGATTGGCTTTGGATAACTCTGTTTTGTGGGAATTCTATGGATCTGAAAAAGTCGCAGGAACTTATTCAACATCTTTATATCGTATCTGTGGTCACCATTTCAAAAAAGGTAGCATTAGCGAAGTTTCGAGTTAGTATTAAGGTTAGAAAAAGCTGGGGAACTGATTTAAATTTTTTCTCAAAATTTCTTTCCATAAAAGCTAGTGAGTCGGAGTTTGTTGCAAACAGTGAATATAGCTTACACTATTCACAAAGCATATAGCAGTTTTGTCAGAGAATTTGGAGATTTGATGTCATTATCAAATCCAGTACCCAGTGGTACGAACGATATCGGGTAAATTCAAGCTTGTGGTATAGAGAATATCAAGCAGTTTTATGTTAGTACGCTGTGATGTTATGAGCACATACTGTCTTCTCATGGAAAGGATTTTCGAAGAACAGCAAGAAGAAAATTTTTTAATATAATGATCGATTTAAAATTGGTAGATAAAGTCAAATAGATCTGTTCACTTGTAACACGTCGTGAAGAAGGAGCCCCTTGATATTGTTATCTCTAAAAGCGTGCAAAGCTGCGCTATTTGTAGGACGCTGATTAGTGATCTAACATTAAGTGGGGTTCATATGAAATAGCGTTGTGGGGAATGTGGCAAATCTAGATATGAAATATGAACTGGTATAATGTTGCTGGTCAAGGAGGTAAGAGAAATATCCACGAAGAACATTTAGAGAACAATCTTTTTCACCTTCTCCTTTGCACTTGAGTTCGCATATCCGTCTTCTGGCCCTGGACCTCTGTGAACAGACTAAGGGCGGAGCCAGAGCCTAGCGCTTGGAAGGTGTTGGTTCCCCCAGGGTGCTTAATTAAGCTACGTGGGGAAGCGGGCTTTGGAAACTCCTGCTACGCTGCCCGCCAAAAGTCGTTGCCAGTTGGTACAGTGACCAGTGCGGAAGTCGTCTCAGTTTGCAGACCTGCTCAAAATCAGCATTTGACCCAGAGTTAGGCTCCCTTAGAGAAGTATCGTTATAAGTCTATGTTGTCAAAACCCCTAAAATAACGCTTGCTTTTTCTTTTATGGCTTAGCAATCATACTACTACAATCTTGGTTCCGCTATTAAATAGAGGATTATATTACACTTTTATTGTTGCTGCCATTCGAATTATTTGGAAGAAACTAATGAGGATTTTAAACAATTTCTGGCATGTTAAAACTTCAGAGATTTTGTAATTTCTTCAGTTCATTTCTTGATATTTATAGGAAGCGACTCGTAGCACGTCTCAACATATATCTCCTCACTTAAGTCTTGTGAAATGTGATTGTCAAAGCGCTCTAGTACTCAGGTTTCCTTGAATGAGTCTGCACGATACATGCGAGCTGTCCGACTGCTGCTAACCGCATTTTGTCGTGCGCTATGCTTGCGCGCCACTCTCAAGTGATCGCCCGCTGTAATACACAGAGGTTATCTTTTATCTCATGAAATTGATTTAGGAGACGTCGAAAAATGCAGCGATCTTCAAAAACTTGCACGCGGCGACTTGGAGCTTCTACTTGGCAAAAAAGCTGGATGTCAGGTGAGGAACAGTATGTTTTTCCAGGGGAATGCATTGTATTTGTATGAGAACTTAGGGCGAAGTTTACGTTCCAATTCTTCATGAGCAGCCGCAGCCTATCAGAAAATGCCTAGAAGTGAACACGCCTTGATTACTGTTTGCCAGTTCTTTTTTAGCAGAAAATTTAGTTTGACGACCCCACAAAACGTTATTGAACCTGTTCAAGTACGAATTATATTGTCTTCTTTTGATTTTCTGCAAGAAGTTGGATTCACTGTTGAAATTATGGTTTTTCCAATGTGCAAATTTTTCTCCAAGCCAGTCTTGCTCTCGCATCGATATGCAAGAATGTACTTCCTGGAAAAAGGTCACTTCTATACGAAGTCCTAGATGCGTCTGATATGATCTAACCTCAGCATCGGACTTTTAAACTCTTTGAATTTTGCGTGTGTAAGGCTCCTTGGTGTTTCTCAACACCTTGGCCAGAAGTTCACGCACAGAATGCAGTTGGGAATTCCTACTGCCAACTAGATGCAATTGTGAGTTCACTCCCTCACTTTTCAGCGCCAT